AAGTTTTATTTTTTCTTTTTTGTTATTGTTTTTGAGCTACATTGGTGCTGCTTCTGCTAAACCTAAAAGAACAGTATAAATCAAGCTTGGTCATAGACTTTTATATATTTTAATTAACTATTAAAAATATTCTGATACAAGAGATGCTATTTCAAAGACAGAACAGTGATATGCTAGAAGAAGGAGTATTTAGTTTAACAAAGCCAAACTGTAACCCTTGGTAAAGAATCCAACATTATTTTTTTCTTTTATAAATCAGATATTTATTCAGAAAATGCAAACTTCTTGTTGAAATAGTAAGCCAATCCTTGAAAAATCAGTAACAAAGGAAAAAAATGAATATATCAGACAAGGTTCCTTTCTGTTTCAGTGTTTTAGAGTATATATGCACGCACACTTAAAATCTCTTACATTAAAGTTTGTCAAATTCACCTGAATATATAATGCTATTCACAACAATGGCTACACATAGAAGTGATCATAAATACTTAAGTTTGATTACTCAGGCATCCTGCATCCCCTCAAAAGATTAGGTCAGTCTTACCAGTGTCTTTGTAAAATCCTACTGCAGGACAGAAACTGCTGCTGCTTTTGTGAGTGCATCTGCCATGCCTGGTCACAGCACCTGCCATGAGAACAAAAATCTTGTGGTAATTATGACCAAGGATATTCTCTGGCTTGCCTTGGCAGCTAACAAAACAAAACAAAAAAACGAAAAAGTTTAAAGACAAGATGGAATTCTCCTATATAATATAAAATAGAACATTTCTTTGCCTCTCGTAAACAAGAGGTAAGTAATCCTCAAAATGAATACAACTCATACACTTGTTGAAAAATGATTAAAGATCTGGATTTCTATGATATAGAAAAAGAGAGTAGGATAGTGAAAGATGTAAGCTTTGCTCACACCTGTAGGCAACAGCTCTTACACCAGTTAGGTAGATAGTAAAACTCTGTTAGAAACCTAATCCTAAAAGCCAATTTCCCTTATAGAAGTTTTTTTGGCATCTAGCCACCAATGTAATTGAAAACCTGGGTTATTCATCTGTATCACAAAAGATTATTTGTCTCGTACAAGCTGATACTAGCAAGTACAATGAATTGGCTTTCATGAAGTTATGACAAAGTATGAACATGTCATATGGCTGCAACATACTGTAATACTACCTAATTTCACTTTATTATGAAAACAGGAGGTATCTAAATACATTCAAATTTCCTTTTTCAGCAAAACACACTTCCATGCCAATGATTCCAATTACCCAATGTAGCCATTGTGAAACCACATGAAAGAAAGAAAGTGGAACCCTTTTAGCTTTGTTCCATCAGTCAACTTAGTCTAGAATCATCCAATAGTCCAAACACATCTTACAGACAGAAAACTAAGAAAAACAGGAAAGGAAAAGTAATTCACTAATCAAAATGTCCACGAGACAGTGAGCTTGAAGCTGATTGACTTAAAGAAGACTTCAGTTAGTACCACCTTGATGTTCTCATAATTTTCTTCTCAGTCACTTAAGAAATAAGATACACTTAATAGAACAAGAAGTAAGACTCTCTTTCATTTGAAATGATTTTCTGAACAGAAATAACTTGTTCTATCTTCTTACATAGAGAAAACATTGCATAATATTCTATTGCTTAACATTCTAGTACAATAGACTTTAAATACTAGCTACACAAAAGACCCTTTTGACTACATAGACTTACGATGATGTTTTTGACATGTTTCTGGAGTAGTCTCAAAGAAATTATCTCTTTTAATTGTAATGCTATTCCATAATAACTCTTCTAGGTTCTTTCTCCCTTGCAGTTTTATCTTATGCTATTCCACAGCCTTTTTAGGTGCACAAGTAATTTCTTTCAGATCCAGAATGAAGTGCATTGTGAATAAGATAAGGAACATGGGAATAATTTCTTTTTTTAATAGAGAACTCAAATTCAGAATTATAAATACATAGTATTCCAAATGGGATTGTGTTAACAATTTTTAATTTTTTTTTAATTTTTTTTTAAAAAATTAACTGTGCTTCTCATAAATTTCTTCTTTTCAGATTTGACTGACATTTCTGGGAAACAACACTCAGCAATTGCTTCATGCAGAGATGGCCAGCTGACCATCTTTTTGCAGGACAAAGCCTACAGCAGTGCTTGTATAAAGTCTTCATGGGACTAAAGCATTCCAAAGTTACTGTTGACTGGAAGTGCAGTATCTTTCATTTCTCACCTTTATTGAGCATCAGAACCTCAGTTTCCACATTTTTCCTCAGTAGTTAAAAGAGATGCATAGTCATGGGGATTGTAAATTGAGTAGCAATGAACTTGCATGGCCTTCTATGATTCTGAACAGGGACCTTATCAGAAACTTTTACTGCAGTATTAATAAGATACACATTTCTGGTCCAAAAGAGCATAAGTGTCTTCCCCTGCATTTCTTTAGCAAATTTCAAAAGTAATTCCCTTGTGCATAGATATTTTGACTATGACCTGGAAAAGTTTCCAGTCATGATTCATCTGTTAGAATCACTGAAAAGGGGGAAAAAAGTGGTAGTAAATACCTCACATAAACTGTATAACTTGTATAATAAAGACAACTGATATTTATCATGTAAGATATGCTACATGAAAACCCTTTCTACAGCACCAATGATAGATTTCACACCAAGTTATGATAGACATTCAGTGCTCAGATTCATTCAATGTGCTTGATAATGGACAAAACACATTCATCAGTGTGAAATTTAACATTGATAGCACAAGGTGGATCTTTTCTATAACTCTGGTTTTAATATTTGAGAGAAGTATATTGACTGATGCAGAGAATAAATAAAGCAGAAATAATTATCACTTACCCAAGTTTTAGAATTCTGTCCATTAAATAAATCTTCTAACAAATACAAAATCTGTATTCATATGTTATTAACTGTATTTATTATTTTGTAACTCGTTGTGACATTATTTTAAGATTCAGTTAGTTTCCAATTACAAGGAATTTTGGAGGACTATATTTTTCTAAATATCAAATTGTTAACATTTAATTTACCTATCAAATGCTTCAATTTGAAATAACAAATATGCAAAAAAAGAAAAAGGGATCTATTTTTATTTTCTTCTTTCCTTCTAAACCAGGTGATGCTTCTTAGAGTTTCTTTCCTCTTGTCTAATTTACATTTAACATGGCTGCTTATAATATGTCTCTAATTAGTAATTTCAACTGATTACTGATGACGTACATGGGTTTGAACTGAATCCTATAATCAGACTTCAATTTTAAGGATGACTTAGAATTTTGTTTACCCATCTGAAAAGGATCTGATTTCTTTTATAAAAATTATTGAAACATTCACCATCAGAACTTGTAAAGACCTCATTGGTGTTTACTTTATAATTGAATAGCTCAAAGTCATTGGCTACTTCCAATAATTTAGCTCCCTTAAATACTTATACTTTTCTTTTGGAGGTTTTCTTTGGTTATGAATACATCCATCATGATCTCCTTTAAAGTAATTAGAACTGTGGTAATAGAGAACCTCTAATGCAGCATAATTGTTTTTATATTCAAGAGATCGTTTTAATCATTTTAATCATACTTAATTTATTGTAGTCATTTCTAACTCAGAAATATTGCTATGATTATGGTATGACATCTATGGAATAGACCATTACCAAGGGAAAATGTCTTTTTTTCCTATAAATAATGATGAGAACAATGGAAACCACAACATTATAAAACAAATAAATGTTAAAATGCAGACAGAAGGATTCTTTTTCCATTCAGACAGCATTAATTAGGTAAAAGAGTTATCTGTAGCTATGTCAAACATCATGCTTGCATGCAATCATCTGGAAGGTTGCAGTAAGTAAGAAAAAAGTTGCATCTCATAGCATTGTGGAACCAATGCACTCCCATTGCCAGAAATGACAGAACCTGCCCAGTTCTTCATCCAATAGAAAAAACATACTGCCCATGTGGATGAAATTATTTTTAATTTGGTTCTCTCTTTTTTCTTCTTCTCCCTCCCCTCCCCCCCTCCTTATGATTAACAGTTAAAATAAAGTGTCTGGCAGTCTAAATTATTAACATGCATTCTTTTCACATTCATCTTGGTCTCTGCCTTGTGAAGGAATTTGCGAGCTTAGTGCAATAAGCACTTTCTAGATGGCTTTTCACCATAAAAAATATTATAATTTTAGTCAGAGAACTTCCCTCATCACAGATGTTTTTCAGGTTGTTTCGAACACCTAATACAGTCAAAGTTGGTGTATTGTCTAAATAGTATTAGTATACATCAGTATATAATAGGAATGAGAGATGGAAATATTCATTGGAAGAGAAAGATTCTTTAATACATTGTAAAGATCTGCTTTACTGCAAATATACATATTACTGTGAGTAATCTATAGAATATCAAAATCAATTTTTACCTGCTTCAATATTTTTTTCACAGAAATCTATATAAATACGTACTAAGCATATTCTTAGTACCATCTTCTTGATGTCTCATTGAAAAAAAGCAATATTTTAATATAATATGCTAGAGCATAGTAATTTGGAGCAGGCAACAGCAAGTGCAGTAAGATAACTGAATAACTATTTTCTTCTCATACTGTAAGAGAAAGAGATAAATGAGAAAACAGAAACAGCTTAACTCACCAAAAATCAAACCACTGCATTGCCCTCTTAGCCACTGAGTGTTTTGGAATAAAAGACTGAAGATTATATCAGTACGATAGAGGCTCCCTGCTCTCTCTACAGTCAGAAGCTGTAGACTGTGATTAAAAAAAAAAAAAAGAAAAGAAAAGAAAAGAAAAAAAGCATTACACCAGCACTTCAGCCAGCAGCCATCAGAACAGGTAGAGATGTGTACAGAGCAGAGAGAGAGGGAAGGGTTAAAGGCATCATTGCAGCCATTAGAGGGAAAAGTTGAAGCAATACAAGCACAGTAGACTTCTCCCCTCCCCCCCCCCCCCCCCCCCCCCCCTTCTTTCCCTACTCTCCTCTTCTCAAGCTAGATCAGTGTGTAGGGAGGATAGTCATCACACCACCCTGAGCAGCAGGAGCTGACGTTGGATGAAGCTGCCAGGTAGCCAAAAAGAGGCACGGAAGGCAGCTGTTACCCACTTTTCAACGTGTACTTTTTTTTTTTTTTTTTTTTTTTTAATAGTCTGAATCTGGACTTCAAGCAACACAGTGCCTGAGACAGCTCATCTAAACCTCACTGTATTGCAACACTCTCTCTTCCCAAAGAAAAAGACTCCACTGAGTAGCAGAATGCTGCTGGTGTCGCAGCTAGGGCTACAATACAGAGCCTTTTTGTAACATTTTTAAAATCTCCTTCTATTCATTTAGAGATACATAAATACACTCAGATAGAAAATCTTCCTTTTTTGAGGGCACTTTTGGCTTTTGTTACCCTGATGTGACTTCTTCTTCGTCTTGGAATGATGGGGATCTTTCTAGCTTATGTTGGATTCATTTTTTTTTCAGTTATGTATATCCAGCAAGGACTGTCTACTCAAGGTAAGATCATTTATTGTCAAATACATGTGTGTGTTTCCATGCTAAAGCATAGTGGGGACAGTAATGGGGAGGGAGGAAGAAGAGGATTAAAAAAAAAAAAAAAAAAAAAAAAAAACAAAACAGGGAAAACAAACACGATACGTAGAAGATGAAGACACCAAACATCAGGATCAAATTTATCTTAAAAAAAAAAAAAAAAAAAAAAAAAAAAGCTTGTAAATAGGGAAAGAAGAAAAAGTTTCCCCAAAGTGAGAATAAAACAGTCTTCTTTTATTTGATTGGGAAGAAGGAAATAAGAAGCACCTTACAAAGGAGTTAAGGAGTGCTGGTGAATGGTGTTTTCATTTTGCATGTTTTTGCATATACATGTCTGGATAAAATGAACACACAACCATGCATGCATAATTATTGCATTCAGATCAAGTACCGGATAGTTAAATCTACTGCCTCCCTGAAAATATTGCAATCTTCTTTCGTATTACGTCCTCTTTCTTCTCCCATTATACTGTGATTCTCAGTGTCAGACCTTCATTTCCATTTGGTGACTATGTGTATTTCTGAAAGAAAAAAAACAAAAAACCAACAAAACAAAAACAAAAAGAGAAAGACAAAATCGACTTCCTTTAAGATCTCCTCCTGCCTCCCCTTTCTCTCTCCATCCCCCCTCTCCACCCCACCCCACCCCCACACACACACACACATACACACGCACACACACACACACACACACACTCCCTTCGTCTTCCTCCCTCCTCGCTGTATGGCGCGCCTTGCATTTCAAGCAGCCCCGGCGCAGCGGGCGCGGGTTGTTTGGGATCGCGAGCGTTGCGGAGCCGCTGTCAGCACCATGGACAGTTCTCCCGGGGCCGCCCCCACGCTGCCCGTTCGTTGACTGCCCACCGCCCCCTGCCCGCCGCTCTCCGCAGCCGGCTCCGGGGGGGTTGGCGACCCGCGCCAGGTTGGCCCCGGCGATGCAGTAGTGGAGAGCAGGGGTAGCATTCCCCTTCACCTCCCCTCACCGCTCACACGCGTTGACCAGAAGGGGGAAGCAGGCAAAAAGAAAAAGAAAAAAGCGAACTTGCAAGCCCCGAAGATGCAAAATGAAAAGTCCTTTTGCCTGTTTCAGCAGGTGACTAGCAAACGCTGACTGTGGATCTTGTGTGTGTGTGTGTTGTGCCTGTGTGTGCTGTGTGTGTCTGTGTTTGGGGGTGTGTGGGCAGCACAAGAAGGGACAAGGTAAAATAATAGCTAGTAGTTTTGCTGATGAGTTGTTGTTGACAACCATGAGTATGTATGTGTTTGTGTGGTGGTGGGGGAAGTAAAGCTGTTTAAACATATTTCTAAATTAACCCATCAATTCCAGATTAGCTAGGAAGACCGGATAAAGAGACAGCAAGAGGGGAGGAGGCACGAGTAATATTTCCTTCACTTCATAATTTACTCTAGTCAATTTGTAACAATCCATAACAGAAAGCAACACAGCAGACTCTTTACAAAATTTTCTGTTCTTGAAATACACATTTTCTTCACCACACTGTTTGACTGCAATATCCCCCTTGCTTGACCATCACGTTTCATCATGATGCACAATTTTAAAGCGAATTATGTCAAACAATGAGAAGGAAGTCAAAACTGAGGCTAAAAGAAATACTGGACTATGTTGATCAGGATTAGTTTTTAAACCTAGCAGTGGTATGTAGAGATGGACAAAGATGAAGGTTAGTTCTATAATGTGCATGCCCATAGTGAGAATTAAAACATGTATTTCTCTTGGTTTGATTACAAAGCAGAGTTTCTCAGAAAGAGTAAATAACTCAGGTAAAACCTTCAAAGTGTGCACTTCAGCAAGTGGTCATAACCCACCCCTCAGAAGAGAACCTGTTTCAACAGTTGCTCCTGGCAGCCACAGAAGCTTTAACAGTTTACACATTTCTAGTTCAGCCTTCTGAAACACAATAAATCAACCTCTTGTGGGTTTTTTTTTCCGCTTCCAAATTGGTTTTGAACAAAATACCTCAGTGATTCTGGTGAAATACTGCATTCTGCCCAAAGGTATTTGGACCTAATTAAATGAAACTTTACTAGCCCATGCGAGCAAGCAGTGAGGTCTGTAACATTTCCCTTGAGCAGAACTTAGACTGCTAGGAAGATGGATTTGTACATGAGGGAGAAAAGACTTACTTGAGTTTTAGAAGGGTGGGGGGAGATGATGTGTGGGGAAACTGGAAAAACAGAATAGAGAGGGAAAGAGGATGGGAAAATGGAGAAATTAATAGAGAAAGGGAGAAGAATCTCAAGATAAAACGAGAGAATAAACAGTGTGCAGATGGCAGAATCTCAATGCACTACGCATTTGTTTTACAGCAAAATTCACTGAATTTCCCCGAAATGTCACGGCAACTGAAGGGCAGAATGTGGAGATGTCTTGTGCTTTCCAAAGTGGCTCCACTTCGGTGTACCTTGAAATCCAGTGGTGGTTTCTGCGGGCTGCTGAGGACCAAGAGGCTGGAGCTGAGGTGACAGGAACTCAGGTATTGATCCTCTGTCATGGGGTCCCTAAACCACCTGGGAAGAACATCACAAGAATGGATAGAATGGAGGGACAGAAAGGTGGAGGAAGCAGAGGGAGGTTCCATGTCTTCTCAGGCACTTAATTTCAATTCGTGAAATAAACAGTGCAGGAACCTGCAGAGAAAAATGCCCATCTCAAGTGATGGCATCTTTGGTGCCTGCCACTCTAAGTATGCAGCTAGGGACATTCATGAAACCACATGGATTTCCAAACTCTGTTTTGTTTTGTTTTTTGTTTTTTGTTTTTTGTTTTTCCTTATTATTTTTTTGTTCTCTTCTTATTTTATTTTATTTTATTTTATTTTATTTTATTTTATTTTATTTTATTTTATTTTATTTTCTTCCCTCTAGATTCCCTTCGGAAGGGCAGTTGTTCAGAGTCTGCCTCTTGTAAGAATTTTTTATTTCCCAAATAGCAAACTTCTACATGGCTCTCCAATTTACAGCTAGTGCAGCAGAACTGTAGAAGGGCACATTCTTTTTTCTTCTTTTTTTTTTTTTTTTTTTTTTTTTTTCTTTAGAGGGTAGAGTGAGTGAAAGCCATATAATGCCCCATACAAGCAAAAAATCCATACAACATTGCAATTTCATCCCTCCGAGAGGGACAGAAAGGAGCCTTGTCCAAACACCATCCCCTGGGGGACCCTCCCTACTGCCATCTCCACATCGCTCAGGGCTTCAGCCGACCCTGAACGACGACGCCACGACGCGGGAGGGTGGCGGCTGGTGGATCTCAGCCTCTGCGGAGGTGGAGATCGGGCTCTGCCCGCTGCGGCCCGCAGGTGGCAGACGCGCTGCGCCGCTGCCTTACTACACGGCAGCTCCACGGCGGGGAGCGGGGCGGCCGCGGTGGTGCGGGGGCCGGAGACCTACGGCGACGCTCCTTTCTCTGCAGGTGGAGCTCCTGCCCGAACGGGACCTGGAGAGCGACGGCACGAAGATAAGCGTAAGTGGTGCCCCCAGCCCGTTGTTCGGGCGACTGCTTCCTAACTCAGAGCCGAGTTGGGCGCTGCCGGCAAGCGTTAGGGAGTCTGCTCCCCTGGGGAACCTTGGGTATGAAGGTGCCTGCAGGAGAAGCCCTAGCGGTAGAGCTTTGGTAGAACCTGTTTCCACTACGTGAGGCAGACAGCCTTTGCCCATCGTGCTGTTTCTTGATTGCATTTATCTCTGGATACTCTTGAGTTTGATTTAGCACTCCTAAGCTGTTTTTGGGGCTCACTCACTCTGAGGGCAACACCTCCCCACTGGGAGTAAAGCCTGCTGAGAGAGAGGTCTTGCAAATGAATATCTTTTTGAGGAAAGAGGGGTACTGACACTATTTACTGTTTTGATATTAAACCAAAATATGTCAACAAAATTATAATCAACTTAGCTGCAACCCTTGTCCGGACACAGATACAAGGGCCTTCCTCAGCATACCCATTTCCCAAGTCACAAAATTGGCTCCTTGACCTTAGAAGAGTTCAAAATCTTCATGTGGCAACCCAAGATAAGTACTGTGGTGGGGTCATGCTCACTGCAGTGAAAAGACACAAATACTTAGTAAATACTGAAACAAGAATACTTCTTTGAAGCCCAAAGGATTTTTCCCTTTCTCAGGCACAGTCTCTTAAGGAATGTAGTCAAGGTTCTAATTCCAGTAAAACTTGCAACAGATACAGTCAGATAATTTCCATTAAATCCTTCGTTTTTCTCCTCTTCCATGCCCATGAACAGACAGCCTAGTAACTACATCAAGTCTAAGTGCATCTAGATATAACTGAAGGGCATTTGTAAAATTGAATACACACATATATGCATATATGCTATACATATTCTAACGTTACTTAAATTTTCTATGATATTTCTCACCACAATCAATATTTGTGTCATGGATCGTATCTTCAGCTACATTTGTAGACCAAATTACAAACAAGGTCTACATGCAGCCTTTGGATACTATTTTCCTAGACTTCGTGCTAGCAGCCGATTTATTCCGTATCGTAGCCAATGTATTCAAAATCTGCATAGTAATCAAGAAGGTCTGTAACACAGTATAGCTGGTAAAGCTTTACCATCTTTCAAGTTAAATCTCTCTTTTAGTATGTATGGTAATAATTTAGGATGGGGTATTTATACAATGTTTTTGTTTAAGCTTGCATAATACATTAGGGTGACAGACAAAATACACTTGGCAAATGTAGACTTTTTTTTTCTTGATGGCATAAAAATACTACCCATGAAGGAAAATATCTTCATGAAGAGGAAAGTAAATTTTCAAGTACATTAATTCTTAAAAGAGACAGTAAAATCTATGTACTGATTTTTTAAACGGTACTGAAGTACGCCACTTTTGATAGTTTTAAGTGAGATAATTTCTAAATTTCAAACACAAACCCAAAAACTTATTCTATTTTTTGTTTGTGCTTTACTGTTAACTTTGTAGATATTGCGTGGAGTCTAATAGTGGAGGATTATGACCTCCAGATTTTCGTTCATGTAGCTTATATGAATTTTTTTAATCTTTTAGCCAAATATGAGCTGTTCAGTAGAGATGCATTGTTATTGGGTATGACTGAAATAACTATCCGGCACTTTCTACCAGGGGTGCTCCGAAAGTAATGCCTTTTCTTTTATTATGTTGGCCCATAACATCATTGCCATTCATTGACACTTGCTGACCATTTATGGAGATCAAACAATGGATGTGAACGCAGTGAGGTGGTGGGTTATGTATTTCATCAGTGGCAACAGTGATGTAAAAGACAAACCATGTTTCAGATGGGCATGCACTCCTCTCACACCACAAAATGAAGACAGTCTTAATCAGCTCATCTTTGCAGATCAGCAGATTATGACCAGGAAATATTAGCTGCAGTGCATTGGAAATGATGGTGCAACAGCAGAATATCACAAAGTTTACACCATCAGTGGGTCCCATCAGAATTCATACAGGAACAGAAAGAACATCATATGCAAGTTTGTCAGGACCTATTGAATTAATATGAGATTGAAGGTGACAGTTTCCTGGATCACATCCTTACTGGTTAGAGATGTAGTATCACCACTGCACGCTGGAGTCAAAACAGTAGTCCATGGAGTGGTGATATGTGAATTCACCAAATAAAAGTTTCAGGTTTCAGCCCTTAGGTGAGTTAAGTGATGTGCGCTGTTTTTTGGGATAGGAAAAGAGTGATCCTTCTGGATTTCCTGGAACTCAGAGAAACCAAGCTTACCAAGCTGAATGCTCAAACTTCCAGAGTCAGACCAGAGGAGAAGACAACCTTTCTCTTGAAATGTGACAATTTTAGGCCTCATAACAGTTGGAAGACCATGGAGCAGTTTGCCAATTTTGGCTGGACTATTCTACCCCACTCACTATGTAGTCTGGATTTAGTGCCTTTTGACTTCCATCTGTTCATTTTGATGAAAAATGGATTGCATGGGCAATATTTCCTGGCAACAATACTGTCATAATAGCTGTGAATTAGTGGGCCACCTATGCTCATGCCAATTTTTATGAACACATCATGCAGACTTTTGTTCATGGCTGATGAATGTGCATAGCTAATGGTGGTGATTACGTTGAAAAACAGTGTTTTGTAGATGAAAATACCCTCCATGAAATAGTTTATTGTGTTTTTTGTGGTTGTTGTTGTTTCCTTGGAAGTATTTTGGAGGCATTGTTTTTGAGGAGACCTACATGTGTAATTAATGTTGCATATGTTATGCTTGAAAGAATGCAGTCCATATGTTCAACTCAGTCAATTATAAATTCAGACCTGAAAACACCACAGTTTCCAGCTTGCAGTTATAAAGACCATTCAGGGTCTTAAAGCTATAATGTATTCATAAGTATTCATCTTCTGTTTGTCAAGCAGGCAGAATAAGTATGTTGCCAACATTAGTGACTATGGTAAACCAAGTTATCAGAAGCAATATGTTGAATAATCTTCAATAACACGTCTAGTTTTAATCTAACGGTTGCCCATTTCTGTTATCTGTTACATATTCATTACCTTGAATTTTCCCCACTGCCTGTTATTGATATTATTGAAATAAGACGTGGATGCATGTTTTTATGAGTGTGGTATTAAAGTGGTGCTTGTTCCCACTGAATCTCTCTTAACTGGCTTCCAGTGGGTTAATAGATATTAATCCAGACAGAAGAGCCAGTTAATTAAATAAATTCTCTGAGGTGATGAACATACAGAAAAGAACCTGTGTTACCTTTCTTAATGCATCTTAATATCTATCAGACATTCCTGGATGCATAGTTTTTTGAGGCATTCTTTAATTACTTGGGACAAAAATTTGTTATATTAACTTCAGATATTAGAAACAATTAAAGATAAATCAGAATTCTGATTTTAGCTTCTTTTAACATGATCTTGAATACATGCTCCTTTCTATTGTTAAATAACGGAAATGATATATGACTTCTAGTAAGTATACAAGTTAAAAAAATGAGACAAAGGAAACTACCTGACACAAGATTTCTTGTTATGGTTATTAAAGACCAAAGGTTTGGACACACCAAAGAGGTAAATTGAATTCCAAAAGTGCAGTCTCAATGAAATGAGTACTACAAGCTAATCTAATTAATAGTTATTAAAGAAGTTTAAATAGCTTTAAATATTGGCAAATATCTCCAACAAAATTGGAAATGCAGTAGTTTAAAAGCTGAATTATTCAATACAGCCAACTAACTGAAAAGGTTTAGCCAACAAAATACGCAGATTTTATGTGAGAAAGCTCATTAAGAATGCTTATGATCTGAAGAAATTAATTGGAATGAATATGGTATTTTTAGTTGTTTGTCCGAGTCCAGTTAACATTTCAGTGTAAACCATCTAAACAGTTTGGAAAAGGAGATGTCAGACAGCCTTCTAGATATAAATAATCAAACTCATCTTTGATGTAGCTTCCCTGCAGTAAGCACAATTACACCACTGATTAACTTGGCATATGATCTTCTCTGGACAGTCTCTATATCAGTATAGTCTTCCTAGTGAAAAAATAATAACTGATGCCATGTTTTCCTGTTTTGTTTTGTTTTCCTTGAAAATCTGTAGACAGTGAAAGTACAAGGGAATGACATCTCCCACAAGCTGCAGATTTCAAAAGTAAGGAAAAAAGATGAAGGCTTGTATGAGTGCAGGGTGACTGATGCCAACTATGGAGACCTTCAGGAATACAAGGCCCAAGCATATCTCAAGGTCAATGCTAACAGCCACTCTCGGCGAATGCAGGCCTTTGAGGCATCTCCAATGTGGCTGCAAGACATGAAACCTCGCAAAAACATCTCAGCAGCTATTCCAAGTAGCATCCATAATCCTGCCAATCAACGTGTGCGTGCCACCTCCAGCCCTGAAGCAGCAGCCAAAATCCCCAAACAAAGTCCACAATCAGGTATGGTAAAGCATTTTCAGCATTTCATTTGATTGCTTACCAGCATGTAAAAGGAAACTAACTCAACAAGGTAACCAGTTGTGGGTAGAAGCCTGGTGCTCTTTTATTCCTCCATCTTTCCAGCCCTGTCTCTCCTACTTTCTCCTTAGTTCCCAAAAGCTGAAAAATCAGCTTCTGTGAAGAAAACTCTAGAAACCCAAATTCCTATTTTTGGAGTTCATCCATACCAGCTTCATTCGTCTAATTTTAGATCTCTAATCAAAGCTTAGTTTTTCCTATTGTGAATGGAGAGAGAAGCATGTCAATGAGCAGTTCATCTCATTTTAAGATGACTATTTGCTATAAATGAAATAAAACACGTTTCTTCCTAGCATAACATGGACCAGTCACTTAACTTTTAATTCTCTAACTTTTGGTGTAATTTATCAGTCCTATTTTCAAAATGATCTAAACTTCTAAATATGAGCAGGTTTTAGACATCATAAATTATCAAAGTTTTTCTATAGATCAATCTATGCAAATTTTAAGGTTTCTGGGTTACTTCTATTTACACTGAGGGCCCAGTTTAACAAGGAGATCACAGCCTAGCTTAAAATACATAATTAAGCTAATTTCATTTGTATTATTGTATCATTTTAGTGCTAGCAAATTATATGTTATTAACATCAAAACTAGGAATATAACAAATTTCATAGCACATCTGTTATGAAATCAATTTCATCTCACAGACATAGTCTTAAAAAAAACGTTTCAATGAGGAAAATATATTTCATTTACAGAGGGGAGCAATCTGATTATTATTAAAAAAGGTGATGCACATATACATTTATTGTATATTTTTATTTACTGATTGATTGAAAACTTACCTTTATTCCCCTTTCCATGAAATTGAGCCACTTTAATTTTTATCTCTTAAAAAAAAAAAAAAATTATTAGCGTTTAGAAACAAAGAAATGTTTCAACTGATAGAAAATCATCATTCTACTACCACTTTCATATAAATATATATCATGCTTATTTTCCACTGGACTCATGCATTTCCAGTACCAGACTTGTCCATAAAATGAAAAATCTAGTTTCTGTTTAACTCTGTGTGAAATTGATTAAAGCAGTCACAAGTTTATGAATTGTATTGCTATAGATTACACCATTCTGGGGCCAAAGTGTGTTCAAAACGGTTAATCCATTAAATCATTTCAGATATATAGTTGTATATGTAATGTTGTTTATGCTTTTAGCACAACAAATATATTGCATAATCAGCGGGCATTTGTTGCTTGAAAGCTAGTAAGGTATTTTCTGGAAAGTTCCTGGTAAAAACCTGACAAAAAATTTCTCTGTTACCTTTTCCTTGAACATAGGTTTCTGTGGATCTTGTACTGCCAATCCCAATCATACGTAATTCAAAAATTAAACATATTAAAATACAACTAACTTCTTAATTCATTTACTGAAGAAACAAAGGGTAGACCAGGAATCGGTATTTGGCATAATTTCAATATAATGGTCACTCACTACGCAGTAATTACTGGTGATACTTTTGATGAATGTCAGCTTAACTTTTGAGAATAGAAATTCAGTTTACTTTTCTTGATTATATGTAGTCCTGATTTTCCATCCATGGTGCATTCTACATTTCTCTGCATTTCACAGTTACTCTATGCAGATAGAAATATCCAAAAAGCACAAGGCAGTGGGAGACTTAATTCTATGGAATTTCAAGACTGAGGAAGGCAAGATTTCAGTTGTGAGACTTCAGAATAACAAAAAGGAGATGACAAAGTTAGGAAGGAATAGTCTTTCTTTATACCATCCTTATACCATCAAATGAGAAACTCTTCTTCAGCATCATGCTAACCGTACATTTAAGCATAAAATAATTGTATGATTACATTTCATGTAAGCAATACATCCATCCAACATACCACACAGAAATAAGATTAAATTGAAATTTATCATTATTAGCCAGATGTTTGTGTTTGAAAAACTTAATGGCTGACTGAGATGTGTTTATTAATTTTAACTAATACATTGACTTCAGTGATACTGTTTAAAGCACTCCTAATTGTAGGTAATTGTATTAAATATTGTCCAGTGTTAGAGAGCTAGTAGGTATTTATTGGCAAGCAGTAAATTTTATTGCCATGTTCACAGACTATCTCAAACAAAAAGCAAGAAAACAAACAAAGAAAAAAAACACCTTAAACAGCAGGGGGAAATATGACACTGAAAATACTGGGAAAAAAATATTAAACTATTTCTTAAGAACTCAGTGACTAATTCAGGAAAGACTGGCTTTGATCATACAAATATTTTGAATTTATTTGTGATAGATAGCACTGTACTTAACTCCTTCCATTCTGAAAAGCACTGCAGAATTCTAGATTTTTTATAGCAATAAATATTTATAGATAGCTCCAGAAAAGCAGCTGATAATCACTATCATTTTGAATATTAGCATTTCCCATCTGAGCAGATTTTCTGCCATTCTTCCCTTTTACTCAGAAATATCTGTAAGAATAACTATGAGAGGCTATGCATTTTGAAATTCATTCAGCGTTTTGTGCTGCTCAGAAAAATGTTACATGAGTGGAAAAAATGTTTATTATTGTTAAACTTTGTGTTCATTTTCTGCTGTAAAAACTTTTAGCAGTTGTTCACCACCATATGCCCATGCCAGACAGTACTGATTATACTTTGCTTCAAACATACTCTCTCTGAAATAAGAGAGATTATTTACATCCTTAGTTATGCCAATATTTTTTAAGATAGTAATGAATTCTGACTTTAAATATGTGGTATCTCCCCTTTAAAATGTATTCCTCTATAAAGTATTGGTATTTATAATGAAACATGAAAAAACTAATCCAAAGCTCAGATCTTTCCTATTTTTTCTTAGTAGTTACCAATATATTTGTCAATTCACCTGCCATTGCTACTTACTCACATCTCTTCCTTTCTTTTAGATATTTAAAAATTTACCTTTCAGACTCACATTACCTTTTAAACAAAATTGGTGGGGGATTCCATAGGAGTATCCCAAGTGCCCAAGTAGCAGAACAACTTCAAAGTCGTTCTGTACTGCATGTATGATATTATTTTCTTTGGAAATTAACTACATAAAAAATTGCAGATTCACTACATGGTTAATAAAGAGAGAGAGAATAAAAAAGAAAGGAAAAAGGAAGGAAAAAAGAGGCTGTTTATGAGTTGTTTGTCTGTTAACTCAAATTGCTTTTCACTGCTATGCAATCAGGCAGCTTGCACTGGGTCATCGGAGATTGCAGCATATGTGACAGGACCTGTTCTTGAAATAAGTGATGGGATTTCCTTGCTTCAGAACACAGTTCATTTATTACTTGACACATACACAGCAAAGTGAAGGAACATTTTTGCTTTTTTTTCAAATGGGAAGCAGGAAACTTCGTATGATGCACTACTTCATTATGAATATCTATTGCATTATTTATATTTTAAAATAATGGCTAGGATTTTCTGCTTGTTTGAATGGGTACTTTTCTTAAGCCAAAAGAACAGCTTTCATTTAGAAATAAATTGGGTCAATTGTAAGAATAAGGATGAGTTCTCCCCCACTCATAAAGTGAGAGTAAATTCAAGAAATTCAAAAGTGAGAAGAATTCACACTTTATACAGCTTCTACTACCTAAAGAAGTTCAAGATAGCTGTCTGAGAGTGCAGTGAATTGTATGAAAATACATGAAAACAGTGGTTTCTCAACTCATAAAGATTCAAGAAGAGGAAGTGCTTGATGGTTGCCTTTTTTATTTTTTCCTTAACTTTGGTCAACTTTTTTTTCCAGTCTTTTTCTTTGAAACCATTGAAACCCAGACTAGCTAAAAAACTCAGCACTCAGTATTATCTTATTCTCTATAAGAATTTTCAGTCTGATTAAACAGTTTGTGAGCTTTAAAAATATTCTAGATACATAATGTTCTTTATAGCCACAGTAATAATTAATTAATCCTGCACTTCTGATGATAAACCTGGATGCCTTTTGAAGAGCAGCCGATGAAGATTCCTGGCCTTATGAAGATAAGTCTCTGCCCCGAACCCTGTATTGTAACTTATCCAGTACCTTAAGGGAATTGTTGTCATGTTTTTGGCAGTGCAATTCACTATCCTGTCTGTGTGGGTGTTCAGCCAGATCCACCTTAGTGAAGTTTGTTCCCCTATCTAATGACAGATCCTGTTTTCTTGGAACAAAATTGCCTAATGTTATAAAAAGAGTAGAAGTGGTAAAATATCAGTCACAGCCAACATTCCTAGCCCTTTGTTTATAGACTATATCTAAATGAGGAAGAGAAAGAGGAGGAAAACTCCTATGAAACATGACTTTAGTGCTATGGTGTATCCATCTTCTCTACTTCCTCCTGTGCAACTAAGAGATAAAAGGCCAAGAACCAGAATAAATTGGAAAGAAAGCCACAAACTAGTAGTAAATCTCAGAGTGAGCTAGACATCTAGATGGTTAAAAACTCTTAATTAGAATAATACTGATTTATATACTATAATTCTGTTTGAAAATATAGTTACAGAACATCATGCCTGTCAAAAATAACATCTCAAATACTTGTTTTGTGTTTAGTTTAATTCTTCACAAGTATACTAAATACACTGATCAGTGATCACTTTATACCTGAAAAATCTTTGAATAACAATGAATAATGACATTTAGCATTTATGACTGAATCCACACCTCAGAACTATGATGAGAAAGTTAAAACAACTTGAAATAAATGTTAAAAGCAAATCAGAAGTTTAAAATGTGAAGAAGATGAAATTAATACTGCATAGTCCTTCAAGCTGCATTCTAATGATCCATACTAATTATAAACGAATGCTTTGTGCCTGTGGAGATTATAACATTTTGTAGTATTTTTGTATTTATATCAAAGAAACTGAAAGACTGAAGGCTTTTACTTGTACCCTTTGATTTAGCTCTTACAGTTTAAAATTCTACAACTCCAAAATCTCCATCT